CGCTTTGATCAGATTTATGCGCCTTGGCACTAGCTCCGCTATTATTAGTATTCTCCATATCTGCTATAATAAAATATCTTGACTCACCAAGTTTCGAAGAAATATATTTAATGTAGAAAATATCGCATAAATGTACAAATTTGAGGAAGCATAGCTTCGAGATTTCATCTCATCAAATAAATGGATGTATATATGTTAACGATGGGTAAATTTACCGATATTCCCCCAGTATATGAATCTGCTTAATCCTCATAAATGTGAACACACGTATAATCCAGGGAATAACTTCGTGGCGGTTGAAAATAAAAGTAAGGGAAGTATACTTGGAAATGTACCACCTGCTGCTTCTGGCATAATTTCGTTTTGTAGTAAGATGTTTTAACTGCATTTATAAACCGCGATCACAATAATCAGATTTTTTACGTATTACGTAGCACGTTTCTATTACCCGTGACATGTATTCGAGATGCCGAGTCGAAGTGTCATTTATTCCGAAATAGATGCATACTACATCTAAATTAAGTAACAAACAAAATTTCGAGTGATACATGTGGAATTGTCAATTATCGGTGATATGCGCACAGATGATTTTATAGGTGACCGATCACCCGATGCGCATAAATAGTACGAAGTCGCCATGTATTATGATTTATTGCCTTGATTTAATATGAGATGTAAAGAACCAATGCCATGGATATCTGATGTCGAGACTTGACGTATAAAAACATGTCGAAATTGCTGGAGTTTCGGGTAAGAAATCAAGTTGCTAAATAAACAATCGCGCACACCCAAACTATCATTTAATCGTTTATCAATTTCAAAATAAATAACCGTAAAATGCCATATAACACATCCGATATTTTTTTAATCGCATTTTTCGTCACTGTAATCGTGATCCGCGAATTATACGCTCGGGGGCTCTTAACAATAGAGATGCTTTATGCAATTATCGGGGAGAATGTAACAATGTACGGTATCCTCGGAATTTTATTATTTTTAATTCGAAAAAATATATCTCCAGTTCCGACCCCACCTCCAATTCTTGCTACGGGGGATGCAACTATAAAAAAACTTGAACAGGCTATCTTAGCCCTCAATAATGAAATTATTAAAATGCGCACAGAGACGGAATGGAAAAGTGAAGCCCGAAGTGGAGGTTTGTGGAACAATTGCAAATTTAGCGTAATTTCTCATATTATATTTAGAGCGAAACTCATTACCTGTATTCAATAATTAGGGCAAGCGTCTGTACAAAGCTACAGATCCGATTATCCTACCGCAACTGAGACTCTCTGGGTCGAATTCACCGCCCTATTTGATGAGAGAAGAAAAAGAGAAAAATGCTCTCCCACGAAAATATATAACGCTTTATCCATAGAAATAGACCTCAGCCCATCCACACTCGCAAAATTCTATCAGCATCAAAAATCGCCACAACGTACATCATTAGACAAAATCGAAGCTTGGGTTGAAAAAGAAAACCGGAAAAAAGATAGCAGTAGTAGCAATAGAAATAGAGGCTCGGAGAGTCATTTCTCACGAAATAATAATTTTTCAAGTAGTAGTAAGGTCACAATAAAAATGATGGTAACCACCATCTTCGCAAACTTTTTCGAGGTGCCATTGTCCAGTAATTTCAAAACTATGTACCTCCGCAAGCCAATTATGCAGGATTCGATACATCTCTGCATCATAAACGCTCTCTCTGGGAACATGTACATTGCACTTGGAATCCACTTGCAAATGATTAGAACTTTTGTAAGAGCGGGAAGATCCTCGTGCAATAGTATTCTTATTAAAAGTTCGAACAGCAGACTTCATTACTTCAAGAATATTTATTGCTGAACTATTGACTTGCAAAGGTATGTCTTCATCAAAACAAAAGTGACTTATATCAGGTATTATACATGGTTTTTTTGAAGAAAAATCTACTATATTTACATCACTCTGCCTCTTCCCTAATACAGATGATAATGATAATGGCGATAATGATGACGATGATAATAGCGATGATGGTAGCGATGATGATGATAGTGATGATGATGATGGCAATGATGATGATACTACTGATAGTGGTGGTGATGATTTCCTTTCCTTGTTAGCTTTTTTTCACAAGCTATTTACTTTTCTGACATCAGCCTATAAAAAGCAAAACCAAATAAGAAATATTTCCCAGTAAACACAATCATGCAAAAATAAGATTAGATGGTGGGTGTAGGAATATATCAATAGATAAACTTTTATTAAGTGAATATCCGAGAGAGAGAGCTGTGTAAAAATTGGTGAGAAATTTTCATTTTTTGAAATTCAGATTTCCACATTGAATACTAACTTGATATTCTTATATCTTTTCTTGGGCATGGTGGTATTCAATTTTATCTACCAGAAGACATGAAAGTATTTCTTCTTCTTTTCTGAAAATGCTAGAGAATATTCTAATTGTGAAATCACTTTCCCTAATAATTTTTTTCTACTCCATTGGCAAATGTTCACTTAATGTAAAAAAAGGTACATAGTTGAATTCTCCTTTAGAATCAACAGACCTTTACTAAAAATTTATATCAATAAATTTTATAATATTTACCAGACACATTCAGTAAATGCATCCATTTCAGTACTTGCATGATTCCTACTAAACACATTTAATAAATACAAGCATTTGGCTATAAGGCTCTATTGAATCTAATTATTCCAAAAATAAACTTACCTTTCTGTTTTCTATGAGATTTTGTGCAATATCCCGAATGTCTTGCGATATAGATAAATTCTTATTAATACTTTCTAGTGTCGTAAAAAATACTTGATGTGTTCTATCCTTTTTAGCAAACTTATAATTATTAATTATAAGGGAGATGTAGTGGTGAAGAGACCAATTTTCAAATGAGCAAAGCTCAAAATATTTGTCATATGGAATATCATTATATACGGATAAATTTCCTTGAACGTTAATAGTAGAAGTGGTAGCAGACATGATAAAAATGTATTAGAAAAGTATCATAGTAATAACAGTGTAAAAATATACATATCGAATCTACCCTACAGGTCTTTTTATATTTTGCAACTGTAAAGCAAGGTAAATAGGAAAAGATGCGTTAAAGTAACTATACCTGCCACCCAAATTCAAAATCCAAATGCCGAAATCCCAAATGCCGAAATCCCAAATCCCAAATCCCAA